TCGGGCGCGCAGTCCACAGCTTCGGTCCAGAAGTCCCCACGACAGGACCCACGTGCCAGAACCAAGCCCTGGGAGGCGCAGGCCCAGGCTTACACAATGCGCGACAATTCCACTCCTGCCTGCAAAGTTGGACCTCAAATTCATCCAGCCAGTCCAGAAGTCCCCTACGTCAGACAGGGAGGAGGAGGCCCCCGAAGTGAGGGAGCCAGGTGAGAGCAAAGTGCCCCTCCCGCAGCCTGGCAGAGGGGCTGTCAGGGTGGGCAGCAGAGGTGCCATGCCTGGGGCCATTGTCTCTCTCCCCTCCAGCATTTCTGCTGTGTAAGAGATCAGACACTGACCCGGACATGTGCAAAGAAAAAACTGTGCCCACGAGTTCTGCCTGGTGAGTTGCTCCGTGTGCTTCCTCCATATTCTGATAGGCAATCCCTGCCACTCTCTCCACATCAGTGTGTGTCATTTTCCTGCAGTTTTTGGCCAACCATTTCCTCAGCACCCTGTTGGTCAAGTAGGACTCCAGGGCTTTCTGCCAAGGAATACCCTAGATGTAGTCTCCCGGGCGGCACAGGAGGTGAGAGCCTGACAACAACAGGCAGATTTGTGCCAGGCGAGGTTTGCTGGAGCTTTCCTGAGACCCCAAGCAAGAAAGCTCAGCCCTTCCAGGCAGCTCTGGGACAAGGAGGACTCCTGTGGGGGCTCAGCAGGGTCTCAGCAGCACCAGGGCCTCACTCTGACTGCTCGTGTTTCTCCTGCAGGGACAGGCTCTGTGCTCTGGTGTTTCATCCCTCCAGTGCCCCCTCTGCAGGAACAGTCAAGCAATTATCAAGGACATGTTTACCATGGGGATCCGAATCCCCTTCAGGTTGGTGTCCTTCTGCCTGGCTCACAACACAGGGGGTGCAAGTGCTGTGCTGTGGCAGGATCTGCCCCAGCAGTCCTGGCCCTGCACTGTTCTGTGAGTCCTGGGTTCAGCTTCACGCAGGAGCTGGAAATGGCACAGGGGGAAGAGCAGGGACACCCTGCACCTGCCCGATGCCAGGACAGAAGGAGCTCATCAGGTTTCCTTTTTCCATCAGACCACCATCATCATGGGAGGGCAATACTGCATTTGCTGAGCTGGAGAGAGGCACAGGCACTGTGATGCCAGCAAGTGCCTTTT